GGGGGGGGGGGGGGGTGGTTGAGTAGCTACCAGAACAGGCTACCATTCAGGGCGAGCGAGCAGGATGTCACCAGAGCATGTTGCTACCAGAACAGGTTGCTACCACAGTAGGTTACAACAAAAGGAGGATACTACTAGAACAGGTTGCCACCCGGGTAGGTTGCTACCAGAGTAGGTTGCCACCAGAGCAGGTTGCATTAGACCAAGTTGCCACCAGAGCAGGTTGCATTAGACCACGTTGCCACCAGAGCAGGTTGCATTAGACCAAGTTGCCACCAGAGCAGGTTGCATTAGACCAAGTTGCCACCAGAGCAGGTTGCATTAGACCAGGTTGCCACCAGAGCAGGTTGCATTAGACCAAGTAGCCAAGAGCAAGGAGACTCGGAAGCGGCCCACGGGGAAGTCGGGAGGGGTGATACCACGAGTTGACCGCAACTGGTGACCAACTCTCACAGCGAGGCCTCTCGATACAATGCATACCGGTAATCAAAATGACGAATGGCTATCAGCTTTCCCAAGTTACCTCCTGGCAACCACCTCGTAACAAAACACACGCTAAGGACTCGGGCATGGTGCAAGCATTTTAACTACCGGTAACATTCAAACACTCTGTGCTTTTGATTAAAATTAAAATGATTGATAACTGTTATAAGTTGTTTGAAAATTTATTGTTTAGTTTCAACCTTAAGTGTTTTCCATTTTTTTTATAGAAATTTGTTGATTTACTTTATTGTGGTTAACAATGCCGGTATTTCATGTTTGACCTCCGTGATTGAGTCTGGTCAAATATCTACGAATTTGTTTAATTAAAAAAAAAATTCCTGCCACCGCCAGTTGAACACAATTAATTTTAGACCATACATTTAAAAACAAATAAATAAACACTTGTTTTGTTCAATATCATGTATCCTGATCAACATCACGCTAGAAAAGATTATTAGAAGCATAAACGCGAGCACCAGTGGTACCATAACAAGCACTTCCAGAGAGGTATTACAGAACCACCACCACCAGGAACCGTATATAGCCAGCCATTGCAGTACCTGGCATACGCAAACGATATAGCGCTACTGGGTAGAAACAGTAATGACATAATATAAGCATTCAGGGAACTTGAAAATGCCTCAGTCAAAGCTGGTCTTGATGTAAATAAACCGAAGACAAAATATATAATAGCAAAAACCTCTCAAGGGGAACAAAGAAGACAATATACACCACTATCATAAGACCGGTAGTAACATGCTAGTGAGACTTGGACCCTTACCAACAAGCAGACAACCTTCTCAATGAATGGAACAGGAAAATCCTCAGAAAAATATTCGGCACAGTGATGGAAAATGATATCTGTAGAATCAGTACAAACCAAGAGCTATACCATTTGTACAAAGACCCACCCATAGTCGCAACAATAAAAAAAGGCAGACTGCGCTGGGCAGGACATATTGAGAGGCTGCCTTAATGTAGAGCAGCAAAAGTGATATACAAGCAGAAACATATGGGCTGCGACTCACTGGTCGCCCAAGGCTGAGATGGATCCACGATGTAGAGAAGGATTTACACCAGTTGGGGGTTCGCGCATGGAAGCAGAAAGCCATGGATCTTTCAGAATGGAAGGTTGTGGTGGAGCAGGCCAGGGCCATACATGGGCTGTAGTGCCACTGATGATGATATGGTTGTTTAAAGCTCTGAAATGAGTCGCACTAATACTGAACCCTGTAATACGAGGTAAGAGTTTAACTTATGGTGCAAATATAATGAACAGACAAATGGAAACACAAGGCCACAACACTTGCAACTTAAAGAGAACAGGAAACCCTTATAAATACATTATAATTTTATTATGACTTTAGCTAGATGATTAAAAAAATGAAAGCTAATTTTAAAAGAAAGATTACAAAGCAAAGGCTAAAACCATGTATGTATGTCTTTAGTCCAGTGTTAAAAAATTACTGTATATGTCTCAGGCTTACAAACAAATCACCAAATATAGCAGTATCCGTGACCAATTTCTTTAAAAAGTAAAAACAGGTTTACTTGGACATCGTCTCAGGCTAATATCTCATTGGACAAGCAGGAGATTTTTTTTTTTTTTCTTTTTATTTACCCCTTCAAAAACTTGACCAACATACATTTAGAGTAAGAATACAAACATTTAGGTGGTTAAATTAATTCAAACATGCAGCAATATTTAAGAACTAATTTTCTTAAGCAAAAACCAGGGGGAAGAAAAAAAAAAAAGGAGCACTGGCGTCAGCCACCTTGGCAACCTTTAGGTTTTAATGGAAAAGTTTCAAGTAATATCACATTTACAAACACATCTCCCTATATCCAGTGCATATCATTATACACAATAACACTATATTTACATTTCAATTTACTCCAAAGTTCATTAAAAATTTAAGTGTGCTTGAACTGAGCTTGTGCAATCTTTTTCTTTTTAACAGGATCAAAACAAGGGCAACAGGAGAAGAGACCTGCTTTCTCTGACTTCGTGTCACCACCTGCTTTTGATTGCGCTTCATTTGGGGCACTGGCCTTTCCCTGAGCTTCAACCTTGGCTTGTGCTGTGGCAACTTCTTCATCTGATGCCAGGAAATAGTGCTTGACCGGCCGCAGCTCTTCAGTCAGCTCATAGCACATTGGAATAGCTGGGTGGAATAGGTCCAGAGAAGACACCACACTAACAATTTTTTTTGTGTTAAAACCCTTTCAAAAACTTGGCTAACTTTAAAAAAAAAAAAAAAAAGAGACAAGAGCACACATAAAATCAAATTTCGTTTACTGATTTACTTCAGATCATTATTTCAAACATCAAAGATTCAACATGTATTTCCATGTACCAGTTTGATATAAATAGTCAAAACAATGCTAAATCAGCTAATGTTGGGTAAAACTGTTCAGCATTGGCTTCTTGTTCATTTTAGAGAGTTAAGTTAAATAGAAAGAAAAAAAAAAGGTGCAGTCTATCACAATTTTAGGCAAGGATTAAAGATTTATTTAGCTTTTCCTTGAGCAAGTACTTTGGCCTGTGCAGCTTTGACCTCTTCTTCTGTTGCCAGATAGTAGTGTTTAACAGGGCGAAGGTTTTCATCCAACTCATACACCAAGGGGATGGCTGGAAAGGGGATTAACAACAATGTAACCTCAAATTAAAATAATTAAAATAAACACAAAAAAAACATGTCCCCTGCCAGTAACAATGAAAGATATGGCAAAATCTGGTAAAAATATATTTTTTAGAATTCAGCATTGACTTAGCTAATTTACAGACACATTTATTTGTACAATAATAGCATAGTACTTATATTAATGTAGTTAGGTCTCAATGAAACATTAATGATTTTTAAACACTTGCAAGGGACAAATGTAAACTTGAAATAAAAAAACAAACAATAAGATATGTTAGTATTTAACCAATCACTGCCTAAAGTTAATGATAAATCTTTATGTAACTTTCTAAAACAAGAGCATATGATACGCTAACCATACCCATTTTTTGGTAAAATTGCCAGAAATAAATTTATTTAATTTTGAATTTTTGCTTCAGGCAAATATTCATGTCAGACTTTTTCTGGGTTTTCACATTTTATTCTCAATTAAATTCATCATGTTTTATGGGAAGTAACTCCCTTAACTTCTTCCGAGTTAGGCAGAAAAGGGTTAAGTGAAATGAAGATCAACTTTTTTCAAAATGAAAATACTTTAAAAAAAAAAAAAAAAGGAATAATGATTTTTTTAAAAATTAATAAAATATTACCAGTAGGAAGATTTAGGCCAACAATATCAGAATCAGAAACATTATCCAGGTATTTAATGAGGCCTCTCAAGCTGTTGCCATGAGCAGATATGATCACTCTTTTACCTGACTAAAAGAAGAGGGAAAAATATCAAAGCATTATTTTGCTGAATTGATGAATTGATCTACCCCAAAATTGTAAATAAGTTGCTGAGTTAAAATGAAAGAAAGTAAACTGAATTACCTAGCCAAATATTTATTCAAATTGAACATGTCCTTCATAGATTTCATAATTAAAAAAAAATAAATCTCCATATCCTATACCAGGCCTGCAAGGCTGCCCGTGGCCAGCCAGCACCCACTTTGTGGCCCACGAAGTAACAAAATATTCTTTATATTATTATTTTCTATATAGCCCCCCTCCCGTCCTATTGTGCAGGCTTGTCCTATACTAATGATACCGATTATTATTTTTACCCAAAAGTCATGCTCGCCCTAGAACTAAAGATATTTATACTTTATAATTAATATATTTGTATTTGGTGCTTGTGTTATCTATATTTATTTCGCATTATGTTTTTGCAAACAAGAAAAAATAATAAACGTGTTCAACATTAAAAACCAAAATTACCTTGATAGCAGGAACGATTGAATCATACCAGAAAGGAAGTGTGCGCTCAACGGTATCTTTAAGGCATTCACAAGCAGGAATCATTCCTTGATCCATAGCCTAAAATAAAATATCAATTTAGTTTTCTTTTACATTCAATTTAGAAAATGAGATTCACATTTAAATGATTTTCAAGAAGGCAACATACATACAGTCTTCTTTCTTTGATGTTGATGGTTAGTTCTGGGATAAAAAGTAACATTAAACTATAAAATTTTATAGCTCCTAAATAATATCAATTAGGGCCACATAAATGTTAAGCTTCTGACCAATGCATTTAGGATTTAACCAATCCTTTTATGTACTAACAGAAATAATATAATGAAAAATTTATAATTTAACTTATCTTCATGCTCTAATGTAGGTGATCGAAATCAGTGTTGGGAAACAAGTTACCTCTACACCAAATAAGCTCACCAAAAAATCAAATAATACAAAAAACACCCACTCATGAAACAAATCATCAACTCAAGTTTAAAAGTGAACTTTGGCCAACAGAATTTCTATAAATATAAATGAAATAAGCAAGCTCAATTAACTTACAGAATATTGCTTGCCTTTGCCCGACCAGCGTGGATCTTCTTTTTCCAAGGGTGGTGGTGGAATGTCATAAGACCTACGCCAAATCTAGATAAAATAAATAAAGGCTTGTTACAGGAATTTTCATGTACAAGTTTTAATTTTAAGTTTTAGCAACAACAAAAAAGATTTTTAAAAATCATTCCCTGAAATAATTGGTCTGCATGTCATCTCAAAACAGTTGGAAAATTTAGAAAGTCACTCACTTGTACTTGATCTTCTCCATATTTTGCAGCAGTTTCTGATTTGTTGAGTCCTTGAAGAGCACCATAATGTCTTTCATTTAAACGCCATGATCGTACTACTGGAAGCCAATGTATATCCAACTCTTCTTGGATAAGGTATAAAGTTTTGATGGCTCGCTTGAGCACACTTGTGAAAGCAATGTCAAATTCATAGCCCTCCTTTTTTAACAACTGTTAAGATAAAAAAATGTTAATTTTTTTAAAAAATAGGTATTAAAATCATTACTGCATATAATATTAAAAAAAATATACTGTACTCAAAAGTTTCCAATATGATCTTTTGTTGACCCAATTTGTGTTTTAGTTTTAAATTTTTTAATTAAAAGTTGATTAGAAAACATGCTTTAGTATTCCAAAAAATCAAAATATTAAAATACTATTTTTTTTTATGTAATACATTATGTATGCTACTTAACATTTAATATAACATAATATACTCTCATCACAAACAATGGACAGGTCATAACTTACTATCAAATGCCAATGTCAATTTTAACATGATATTTTTTACTTATTTTAATGGCCTTGAATTAGTTTTAATAATGTCTGATATTGAAATGGTTAGTTTTCTTTCTATGTTTTGAATCTGTGGACATTCAAATTAGGAGAGATAATTTGGTGTCTGCTAAGCCTCAGGTAAAAAAAAAACCACAAATGCTACTTTGTTTATTTAAAAAAAAAAAAAATCTAATTTTATTTTTAAAAAAGCAGGGCCATCAATTTCAGTGAAACATCTGTTATTGCTTCTTTGCTAGACTAATACAGTGGCTGCAGCATTGTTTCAGATAGAAACCGTTTCTTTGCTGGATTTTTATCAATGACAGGGCAAATTATTTTGGGTAAACAAAATTTTTTGTTAAAAGGAAAGAAGTTTATGCACATTGACTGACCGGCAGCATAGACTATTGCCCAAGAAGATTGTGAATGTATGTCTGATGTATTGAAGGGGGAAGGACATACCTGTCTTTCCTGAGTGAAGTGTTGGGGTTGGGCAAAACCGATTCATAACGATGGTAATGTCAACTATATATTTTAAAATCCACCTTCCTATCACTACCAAATTATAATGTTACCAAGGTACACAATTATAGGCATTTAAGTATATATATATAAGTTGGTACCCAGTACAACTCTCTTTATAACTGTTAATCAATTTTAATTTTTTCTGATATTTTTTAAAACAAGAATGAACTTATTTCATTGTTTAAAGAGATTTTATTATTCAAATACTATCTTTTTTTATCAGGAAAAAAAACAACATTTAATTTAATGAGGTCTATGTGGAGACCTGGTCTGTCATTGAGGTCAACAACTGGCTCACAGTAAGTAATTAATAACCCATTTATTTATTTTAGATTTTTATTAAAATAATTAGCAAACTTAAATATAACAAAAAATTTATCAAAATATAGCATTTTGATAATCCTAGCAACCATGTGAATTTAGTCAATCACTGTAAGGGGAGATAACAGTTAATAATTCAATACACTGTATAATACCATTACTCAGTAATGCCATTACTGTTTTTCTACCATTAATTTATAACACTAAAATACAATATTAATAGTTATGAGAGGGCTATAAAAAATAAATGAACAATTATCATTGCTCAGTAGTTATAGTAACTTAAACATACACTAATTAAAGGGGCCATCCATAAATGAAGTTACGCATCTAGGGGAAATTGGGGGGCACATTTTTTGATGATGTTTGACGATGTGGAGGAGGTGGTCAGCAATGTGACATCCCTTAAAAAGTGGAATTTAATTGAAACAACTTGACCTGAATTACATTAATTATACCACAATTTATTTATAAACCAATAAAATTTTCATTCGTTCTTTTCTGAATATTTTAATTGTTATCAGATTGTATTTGAATCAATGTTTACATTTTTAAACTATAATATTTCTTACTGAGCAAATCAGTACTTTTGAGAACTGGTATATAAGAATTCTATGTCCAAAAAATGGAATCTGACAGATGGATCAAGTTACTTACTATAACTTATAGTCATAGCAAAGGAAGGCATGGAGGAGGACAAGAGTCTAAGGTGTAGTGATGTTGATTGATAGTCATGTATATTAAGTCACAAAGTAGAAGACAGGAGTATGAGAATTAGAGGTATATATGAAGTGGGATGATATGAAAAATATTTGACCAGGGAAAATGGTCTTGGTAAATAATTAAAATATACAAGCTTTTTACAGCGTCAGAGTCACACCAATTCTAAATTTCAAAACATGTCCTGCAGTCCCCTTATAAACATGGGATGTATGAGTATGAATCTTTTAGAGTTTGTAATATATGTGAATAAAAAGGTAACAATCAAGACATAAGACAGTGATATTATTGGAGAGAGTGAAAATCTCTATAGAGCACCAGCTAAACAAGCCCATTGGGAAGTATTGATTTTATTTTGGAAAGACCTCATTAATGTCAATATAATAATAATTAATAGTAAATAATAGGCCTACTACTAAATATAAGTTAGGCCTACTAGGTAGGTACAGGTAAGACCTAATCTAACAGTCTTAGTACTCTTAGTAAGACTAATGGCCTATCTAAATCTAATAATTGAACTTGTTTTGTAAATTAATTTAATACTAATCATAAATAATGAGAATGACAATGACTAGTCTAATACTAATACAACTAACTCTTGAAAATTATTTTACTAAAACTAAAAGAAACTGTGTTGTAGGAAGGGGACTAATAATTATTTTAATATTTCATATGAGAATGGGACTAATAATTATTTTAGTATTTCATATGATTTTGTAAAAATATAATTTTGGAACAATAATAAGATAGCCAAGAATTAAGATAATAAAATAAATATGAAAATGAAATATGCCCTGACCCCTGGCTTAGAATTAGAACAAGTTATTAATTAAGATTAAAAGTAAAAGGGACATTCTAAAAATGAGTGTAGTTTACTGTTTAATGAGCATTGTCCTCGTACCAAGATTCAAGACTAAGAAAATGAAGCCAATAGATAGGCCAATAATCAGTACATAGTAACTGAAGTTAATATTTCATTTTGATTAATTTAATTCTTACCTGACCACCATAAACAGCCTCTTGGATTCCAGTTTTCGATAAGTCTGCATCATGCCATCCACAGAACACATTTTTTTCATTGTACTCACTTTCTCCGTGTCGGATAAGGACTATCTTATATTTTGTTGCCATTGTTTATAAATACTATTTACCCACACAAGTACTTTCGCAAATAAATAATCGAAAAGACAAACTTGATGATACGACCTTGAATTACTGAAACCGGTCGGAAGACCTTGACCTTGCTATGTATTCAAGAAGGGGAAGCTACTCTTTATTTATTTCCGAAATGAAGGTCGAAATGACTTACTGGTATTAAAAGGTCACTTGCCAACCTTAAACTTGCACCAACACAGATAAAAAAAACCCAAGATCTGCATATTGATACATTGTTTAGCTTTTAAATTTTTAGTGCGGCGGGGAATGAAGGGGAAAAGGGATGACTGAAATCATGATATTAAAAGAAAGCGTTTATCTTATTAAAAACCAATTTTCTAACCACCCGACGGCGATCAGGTTTAATGTTAGGTCTATTATAGTCTATATTTTATATATCAGTGGCGTTTAGAAAAACACACCAAATGAGCCTATTGGTATGGTGGGACTCGCTTCTAAAATTTTCGGTTCACTAGTAAGAAATAAAATACTGCTCTACCCTTACATGTCTAATAGAGGTACGTTTAAACGTTTTAATTAGCCTGCAAGGGTCTGGTGAGAGACTCCCCGGGCCCGTAGGAGCTCCCCTGGCAAGGGTCTGGTGAGAGACTCCCCAGGCCCGTAGGAGCGAGCTCCCCTGGCAAGGGTCTGGTGAGAGACATGGAATTGGCATGATAATCGAAATGCTAGTTCACAAAAACTTTTTTCTTAGCTTTCTAGTGGATTCTCATCTAACATATAATTAATAATATAAAAAAATAAGTGCAATGCCAATGGATGGGGCAGTTTGTTTGTTATTCTGACATTGAAAAGAGAAAAGCAGTTGCGCAGTTAATAATAATAAATATATATATGGCATCCTTCCGTCGTCGCGAGACGATGGAGTAGCTATGTAGTCCTACACTTCGACGAGTGGCTCACTAGGCCAATCCTAGAATGACAATCTCGACTGCATTTCTCGCAGGAGAATATTGGTTCCTGGTAAGATTTTGACTTCCGTATGTTCTTTTTGTTGCAAGGGCCTCGTTTCGCGTATCTTCCGCCTTTTTTACTCCTTCATACACCGCTTTTCGCCAGCCGGAACGTTGTACGGCAATGAGCTCCCATTCGTTATTTTCACTATTGGCTTCCTTTATGCTCCTTTTGCAAACGTTCATAAATCTGAGGCGTGGCCGTCCTATAAGTCTTGTCCCCTCTGCCAACTCCCCATACAGCAGCATCTTTGGGATACGGCCTTCCTCAATTCTCTTTACGTGACCTAACCAGCGAAGACGACCCTTGCTAAGAGCGGAGAATATGCTAAACATTTGTGCACGTACCAAGACCTCCGTGTAGGCACCTTGTCCTGCCATCGAATGCGTAAAATGCGACGCAGACATCTTTGATGGAAGCTGTTGAGTTTCCTGACTGGTATATTATATGTGGTCCACACTTCACTGCCACATGGGAGCGTACTAAGCACACAAGCCTGATAGACACTTATTTTTTGTATCAGTTAGATCGATATTATTCCACACCCGCTTATTCAGTTTAGCCATAGTTGCCGCTGCTCTTGAAATCCTGATATTTATATCTTCATCAACGGAGAGAGAACTAGAAATATTGGATCCAAGGTATGTAAAATGCTCAACACCCGAAAGATTATGACCCTCAATAGATATGATTGGAGGGGACGGTGCTTCTTGCATCGTTACACGTGTGTTCTTTAGACTAATTGATAGTCCAAACTCTTTACAAGCGTGTGATAGACGATTAACCAGCTACTGGAGACCTTCTTCTGTGTGAGATGTTAAGGCGGCATCGTCAGCGAACAGCAGTTCACGAATCAGCACCTTTTTATCTTGGTCTTTTCACGAAGTCGGGTGACATTGAACAGTCTACCATCAGATCTTGAATGGGTGTACACTCCGTCTTCGCAGTCTCCGAAGGCAAATTGAAGGGGCATCGAGAAGAAAATGGAGAAGAGCGTTGGTGCCAGTACACAACCCTGTCTTACACCGCCGCTGACTGGGAATGACTGAGAGACAGCGCCATTGAAATTTACTGTGCTGTGCATGTTTTTGTGAATTGACTGGATGATTGTGAGCAGTCGTGGGGGACGACCTATTCTTTGCAAGATACTGAAAAGGCCTCTCAGACTTAGCATATGCTGTTCACGACATTTCTCCTGCAATTGGCGTAACGAGAATATCATGTCTATTATTGAGCGCCCACTCCGGAAGCCACACTGGGACTGTTACGCACTGCCTTCTATAGTGAGAAATTAATCTCTTATTTTAAGTTATTGGCTCGTTGTAAACTGTGGCTAACAAAGGACGATACCATAGAGAAATACAATAGCAAAATTACGACACTCAAAACAGTACTAAATACAATTAATAAGATTTATTTAAGTATTAATATAATTACAAAATAAAAGAAATATAATTACAATCATCAACTTACAGAGTATGGTAGATCTTGTACCGGTACACAATTAGTACAATGTGCCAATTAATAATGTACAATGATGAATGCGAATAAACACATATGAGTACACACAATAATACACTTGTCTCGTGAAGTTAAAAATATCTAGCTGAATCTCTCCCGATGAATCTCTGAATCCCTTTTACATCTATGCGTCGATAGAACCAACGCTTATAGAAATGCCTTTACATTGTTTATCTTTCCAGTCAATTATCGAAGTTTCCCCAAAATTCTATTAGAATATATTAGTTATTTATAGTTGATAGCTGTGGAAAACAACGGCTAAGATGAAAGGAAATAGGCTACGCCCAATACGAACGCCGTCTAATGTGAGGTCAACCAGAGTTCACGGCACGGGGAAAGTGTGACGTAAACACGTTCTATATAACAGGGATCTTGGGTAGATGCGATTAGCCAGACTCTGCAACAGTTTAAGGGCAACACCGGCAACATTCTTTCCAACTAAGCCAAGGAGAGAAGTTCCTCGGTAGCTATTGCAATCACTTCAGTCCCCTTTATTTTTATACACTGTTACGATGTTGTCTTCTCTCATTTCCTGGGGAATGTGACCTGTTTCCCAACACAGACAGAGGATCTCATGTAAGGGCTGAAGTAGAATAGATTTTCCGTTTTTGAGGACTTCCGGTGGAATGCCGTCAATCCCTGGTGCCTTCCCACCAGCTAGGTAATCAATGGCTTTTTCGAGCTCCTTTACAGTTGGCTTTTCATCCAGTTCTTCGATTATTGACAAGACGGGAATATTATGCAGAGCGGTCTCAGTGACTGCATTCATTGTTAAGCATAGTTCAAGATAATGCTCTACCCAACGCCGGAGTTGGGCTCTGGATAATTTGACCCGTCTTGGACTCGAGTGGTGCTATTTTTGAAGTGTACGGAACTAATGCCATCTTGATGCCCTCGTAAATGCTCCTTGCATTTCCGTTGTCGGAAGCCAGTTGAATAGAGTCAAGCCAGTAAGCATTGGAACATTGGCGGGCCGTCTGCTGGGATATTTTTTTAATGCAGTTTGGAGAGCCTATAGTGTACTAGCGCAAGGTGCATCCCGATAGGCATGTAGGGATCTTCTCTTCCTCTCGATTACGGGTTCCATCACATTCCAATGTGCCGCGTACCAGTCATTATTTTTTATGCTCAATTTTATTTTACCGTAGGCGGACATGGCTGAAACGTACACAGCATCTCGTAAATGAGTCCCGCTTAGAGTCAATAGACCATCTGATGACCCTTTAGGCAGAGTTTCCTGCAACGCTTTTGTGAATTACTGCGTTTTTTTTTCTGGGTTATTTGAGCAGTGGACGTCACGTCTTTTTTAGCATTGTGCAATTTTTGGGGGCATTAATAATAATAATAATAATAAGAGGTCTTATATAGCGCGGTACCCCAGCCTAGGGCTGGGCTCCCCGCGCTGTACATAAAAATTTTTATCAAAAGAGACATTACCATGACATTAAAATAAAATACATTTATGAAATAAAGAACAGCAATGTATATTCACCCACCCCACCACATAACTTTTACAAGGCAAACCATGGACGGCAGCCAGCAAGATCGTTTATCGATCAGAGGAGGGGAATCAGTCAGGGTAG